AAACGGTTGGTTGCATTTTGTAAAGAAGCAATTGAAAAGTTAGCTCGGCCGGGGTGACTCGGGGGAGGGGTGTCTCCGGTACCCGAGACCATATAAACGGGCCCTAACTTGCACCTCAACCTCTGATTTGTTTAATTTGTTCAGAGGAAGCAGTCAAGCAGTGAAACAGTATACCAGAAAAATCGTCTGCAAAGTAAAGTTCCGTGTTCATAGCATCCATAATAATCAATTATCCCAATTTTGTTCTCTTGTTTGTTCTCAGAACAGAACAAAACACACCCGAAGTTGCAAGCAAGATGTTGAATATTGTCTCATTGATGAAGATGACCGATCCGTTGACACTGATGACTAGTCAATGTCATCATACGATCCCAGTGACGATGAAGAGGATGACGATAACGATGACGATGACTCTGATGAAGAAGAAGATAAAAATGTGAGTTTTGTTTTTTATTCAGTAATAAACATTAAATTTTACAGATGAATCAACAATTACTCGAATTCCCAAGGAGGTTAGCGGGGTTGGTGTTCGTTAATCACGATTCAAGATTTTGACAAGTCAACCAGCAACGTAAAATAGAGTTCGAGTTAAGCAAAAGGAAAATAAGATTAGTTTGAGTTAGCGGGGAGTTTGAGGCGGTTTCAAGTCAACCGAGTTCGAGTCAGTCGATAGTAAATGACTAAAAATCGGATAAAAACGAGGGGAAATTGGATTTTATTCGAGTTCGCAGGGAGTTCGAGTTGTAAAATCATAACCGTTGTAGTAATTTTCTTGTTTGAATTTTACAATTTAAGCAATTAAAGAAACCTGAAAAAGCTTGAGGCTTAACAACTGCCGAGCGATGAAAAAATAGATTGGAAAGTCAATTTTGAGTCATTTTTTATTTTCCTATTCTAATTCCCGTCAACGAATTCATATGAGTGGAGAATCCCTGATGGAATTTCCCGAAGCTGTTAGCGTCCGGACAAAAACTTTCTTCAGACTGAATTAGATTCTGTGTCACCTTCTGTAATAGCGAATCTTGAGCAGCCATCAAAGATTTTAAAACAGTTGTGCTTTTGTTTTGTATACAACAGGAAGAAAAGAATCAGTCCAGTGAACTAGCCCCGAGACAAGCAGTGACTAAAGGTTCGCTTCTACTTCTCCCAGCATTGATTATGTCTTCTACTTCTCGAGAAAATGGCATTACTTCTCTCAACTCAAGCATGTTAAGGCTGGCTTGCACGGGAATGAGTAGGGGGTTAAAAAGTGATTTTGGTTCCTCTTAGGGTGTCCAGCCTCAAAAAGTCCACGGCGGGAGATTTTGCGGTACCTTTTAGGTTATTAAGCCGAGAAAAAATATGACAGGAGCTATTTGACAATCAACTTTTACAAGGAGAAGGTATTCAAAGCAATCACCTTTATCGCTATTAAAAATTATGAAAGTATCAGTTAATGTGTTGTTTCAGAATTGATACCTCTTAGGGGTAAAAAACGATCAAGCCACGCCCGCAAAATAGCCGTCAAGGAATCTTTTAGGGTTCCACCCGAAGAAATGATAAAAGAAAAAAAAAAATTGTAAACGCTTTCTGTCCTCAGAGACTGGATATTATCTAGCCCTTGCGTTGAAGTGGAGCATTAGTTTAAAAATAGAGCAATATTCTACCCTGGGTATTATTATCAATGACATGGTAATAAGTTATGGGGAATCGCTCTGGCCTCGTACAAGCCCAACACCAGGCGAAAATAGAAGCGGACAGCTAGATCAAGCCCGAATTACTCGTTGGGTGGGTGGCCAGCCTCTTCGCTTTCGCGGCCTGGAATAGAGTGATAGGGTGGAACACCCGTAAATTCTCTTATGCTGTCATTTGCACAATCCCCATGCCAAGGTATTAATTACTAATGCAAACGATTTGCATAGTGTGATTAGTCAGAGGTTTCAATCAGTGAAGACTTCCTTTCCATAATAATGAATCTAATTTTTATAAATTTTCCTGTGTTCAAAGTTCATAGTGTGTATTGTAGTAGTTTATTCGCCTGACTTACTCTTTTTATTTGTATATAATCACTGCAGCTGATAAGTTTCACCGTAATCGGCTAAGTTCCCTCGCTAAATTTCTCTTTCTGCAACATATGCGTCAAAAAGGTTTCGTATGAGAAAATTCTCAACAAATGCACTTGACTGCAAAGAGAAAAGTGGATTTAAAATAAGCAATTCGTAGGCGGAATGTCAGAGACCCCACCAATTTCGATTTTCTCTGCTTTGTAACGATCGTCGCAGCACTCTTCGCGTTTCTCTTCGACTGTCTATTGCCAAGTTAATTCATAAATCCAACACAACATTATGAGAATCCCGTAAAACGTTATAAGCA